CACATCACAGTTGATGAAAGCCGATTGGTAATCAGCTTCACCTTCTCCTAGGGTGAACCTTGCGATCATCTCCGCCCTTACATCGTCGGTGGGGTTACAGAAGTCACTGCCCTTGACAATATATGGGATGTTTCCCTCTACTTCTAACATGATTTTCTTGTAGTTCGGGGAAACCATGTACGGGTTGCCGCAGGCTGGCCATATGAATGTGTAACCTTCCTCCATGCATTTCTTTCCAACAGACAGTACTGAAGGAGACTCATCTAAGACGAATGGGGAGTAGGTAGAGTCAAATTCGTCGAAATGAATGTCGGCGACTCCCTTTGTGGATGTCACTCCATTTGCGGTATAGAATGACATTGATTGGTCGCTTTCTCTCACTTCCAGACCTAATTTCTTGGCTCTGCCTTTCGATATCAAATCATACCCACATCCTGCGTCCATGATGAACTTTGTTCTTGACCCTTTGGCTGGAATAGACAATGTCTTTGTGTCTGCATGATCTTTCTTTCCCTCGCATACATGAGGAATGACTTTATGATGGAAAACTAGGCCGTCATCTTCGTCAAAAGACATAGTGACCGCTAGGTCACCCTTTGGTCCAACTGGTATTCGGACCCTCTTGATCTCAGTGTAGGGGACCATCAATATGCCTCTTGCCTCTGCGACCTTTTCTTCAAATCTGATTTGTTCTTTCCTCGTGTAGCAGGTGAGCTCTTTCTCATCGTATCGTTTGATGTCTGGACGTAGAGGTTTCCTTTCTACTACCTTCCATTTGTTCCTGACTGAGTAGATCGCTTCGTTCAACATGATCTCACAAGTCTCTTCATCAAAGGATACTTTTGCACCTCCTTCTCTTGCCTTGGCGGATGCAGCAATCCCTTCATCTTCGGATTCGTCCATGAAGAGTTCACCGTCAATGGCTGGGGCTCCAGGCTTCGCCTTAGGCTTCGGTTTGGGTTTTGCCTTGGGCTTTGGCCTATCGTCTCCTGAGTCAGCTGGTGCAGATATCCCTTTCTTAGGAGAGGCTTTTGGGTCATGGTAGAACTTGCAATCCTTCCCTTTGTCACAAGTTCCTCGAATCCACATCCAACATACTGGCTTGTCATTCTTTCCGACAGAAGATCCTCTGGATGGTGATCTGGGTTTCTTGTGACTGAATGGGCAATCTTTCCCCATAGTGCAGTTACCTTTCACGAAGTATTTGCATGGTATCTTCTTCTTGTCTGTACTCGGACTTCGGCTGCGATCCTTTCCATCACCTTTACCTTTCCCCTTTCCCTTTTTGTTCTTGTCTTCAGGATGCTTCTTGGGATTGGGTTTCGGCTTCACTGCAGCAGCGTCTTCTGAGACAACCTGTTCTTGTTGCCCTTTTGGTTTCTTCTTCGGATCAGCTGGCGCAGCTTTCAGTTTTGGAGCAGGTCCGCCTGGTTTGAGATTCTGAAAGATATTGGCCACATTCTTCACTGCCTTCTCCTTTTCCAGGATCATCCTGTCTTCAGTTTGCCGTTCGATGTGCCTTCTGATCATATCACGTAGATGTTTGTATGTCTTCTTGGCATCATCGTCGTTCATGCTGTTGTAGGCGCTGATGTCGTATGCCATGAGGTTTGAGTTCCTGATCTTTCTCCATAGGAGATCCCGAAGAGTTTCGTCGCTCGGGACGTCAACGGGCTTCATTCCTGCCAGAATCTCATCCCAAGTATGGAAGAACAACGATAAGTTCTTGTCTCCTTGATATTCTAGTTGGTAGAGGTGCATTGAAGTATATAAGACTTCCACATTTGATGTTGTCTTGAAATTCATAAGGATCAGGGCTAGGACCTCTCTTCCCTTTATGAGGCTTGATGTTCTCCCTTTTGCATTGATCCTCGTCCTCAACTTCATAGCTACACCTGAACCATCATCTTTCGCATCCATGACGACCTTGGTAAGAGCTAGGCCGAGTTTGGCATCGATTGAATGGAATCTTTGGTCTCCTGAGTCGACAAACTTGTCCGGATCAGGATCGTCCATGGCTTCTTTGATCCAGTCGATCCAGGGCTCTTGATCTGAATCATTGGCCGCAATGATGATCGATTGAATGAGATTTGCCTTCCATAGTCCAAGATCATTGATCCTGGGCCATGACGGAACGTTTATCTTTGATTCTTCCTTCCTCGATACTTTCATGATTGTAGAGGTTGCCGGTGCAAGATGAGATGAAGAGGATGCTTCTGCTTCTGAAATCTTGTCCCTCAATGATTTGTTCGCCTCGGATAGCTCAATTGATTTCTCCCTTTCCTCGGCGTACTCATTGTGGGTTTCGGCATACCATTCATACATCTCATCTCGGCTCTCTGTCATTTCATTGTACCCGTCCTTGTAGTGCTTCGCCTCCTCTTTTGCGTTCCGAATCTCATCTTCCTCGGACGCGTGGGTTGGTAACCCGCGGTCTCTGGAACTAGGACGCTTGCTGTACCGAGAGACTATGGGTGCCATTCGTGCTTCTGCTTTTAATTTCGCATTTTCCATAATGACATTCTTTGTCTCCTTCTGGCTTTCCAATAGTGCATTCTCCAGTTCTCTGATCTTCTGTTGAATTTCAGCACCATCATCGCCGAACATAGGAGCTCTCATCATATTCTCTCTTTTCAGCTGTGCGTTGGCTTCGGATAGAGCGAGGTTGGCGTCTTTCAACTGTTGTCGTTCACGGATGGAACCTTCTAGGACTTCGTTGTTGAATATTTCTCCTTTTGCGATAACCTCCTTTGCGACGTTTGCTTCGTATTCATGGTGGCTCGCCTTCATTTCTGCCATTTCTTTAGCAGAGACTTCAGTCTGGCATACAAATATCTCCATCCTCATGCCCACTTCCATCTCTTCTATCTCCGCTCTCGCGTTGAGTTCAGCTCCACGTGCCATAGCTAGTTGACCTCGTAGATGATCAATAACCATAGCTTCCTGATTGCTCTGATCTTGAGATGAGTGAACACTGTGTTGAAGACGTCTTTCCCTGACCTCACTGTTCCATTGTTCTTCTCTCTGGTGTTGGATCACCTCGTGCATGTTGACATTCTCATCCTGTAGCGCAATCATTCTAGCTTGTATCTGGTCAGCTATTCCGACGAAGGCTGTGTTCTCATCCTGAATGGCTTTTGATCTTCTATTGATCGCCAATGAAGATTCATTCTGTTCTTGGATGTGTCCAATTGCTGCTTGAAGCTCTTGGGACATTCTGTCCTTCGTTGCTTTCACAGATTCAAGCTCTGAATGTTCTTGATGAGTTTCTTGTGCAAGCTCTTGATATCTCATGTAGATATGTTCAGCTGTCGATTCCGCCAAGCGTAGCTTGTGTTCGAGCTCTTCAATTCTTATTGTCGCTCCTTCATCTTCCTGTGTCATCTCTTGTAGATGTTCCTGCATCTTCCTGTTGTAGTCAGACATTTGCCTGAACTCCACTTCAGCCTCGTGGTGTAGTCGTGAGTATCCGGCTTGGATGCATTCGTATTCTTCATGAAGAAAATTGTATGCGTTTCTCGCCGATCTCAATTCTTCACCCAGCTGAATCTCTCTTCTTTGCTCTTTTGTTCCTCTATCATCGTCACGTCTCTTCTCTATACTCCTTCTTGGGGATCTCGCGGTAGACGTTATAGGCGATGTAGATCTTGTTGTAGCTCTCATCGATCTTCTTGGTCCTACGGGTGCAAGATCGGTCAGATTCCGAGCCGGTGGCACGGATCTTTCCGAGATTTGTGATCCAGTAGGCATAGTGATAACGTCAGCATTTGCTGATGAATCAGTACCCATTGTAGAGTCTGGTGACGAAATGGTGTTGAGACCACCAGGAGCAGCGAATGAATAGGGTTCGCTTCCATTTCCTCCTGAGCTTGACATTGCAGGTTTCTGTAATGACTAGTCTTGTTCCTGGTCTCGTGTAGCTCGTACGGCTATAAAGAGCGCGTACGGCTGATAACCTGCGAGTGGATCTTAATCAGCGAAGTTTGAAGCTATCACTGACGATCCATAAGCGGCGTAGCGTCGGAACGGAAACCGCACCTTTTCTAGTCGCTTGATCCTTGAGCCAAAGTACATATGGTACATATATATATATATATGTACAAGTTGCACTGTACGTGTCGCTGCACTTCCATTCGCAGAAACCGTTGAATCCTCTCAGGTGGTGTAAGTGTCTTAATAGTATATCATCCTTGAAGGCGAGTTGACACCATCCAATGGACAGTCGCAAAAACCAGATCGGGCTCTTAAGATAAGCAACCAGGCGCGCCCCCTCACGCTCAGAATCAGGAGCCCACACCATTGGCGAGCCAACTACTCCAGGCACCACTGTGTACCTGAAGTTCTGCAGCAAATGAAGGGTCAGAAAATGGGTGGCACATGGTGGCTCTGCCCACTGGATGCCAGATGCACATGTGGTCCCGTTCCCAAGTTATATACAGTACTTGTCGAACCAAAGCCCGTTGTTGCAATAGCACGTACTGTGCATCTCGCGATTCGTGAAGTTTGAAGAAAGGAGGCAGGAAATTTTCCAAACAGCCTGTTTTGAGACTGTTTCCTCTCAAGCAACCAGCAGTCATCTTGGTGTTTAACAGCCCGGATGACTTTTCGCCCAGCCAGCTGGATTCATTGCATCCAAGGGGCATCTCTAGGGCCAGGTGTAGTACCGCAGCTGAGCAAATGGCTGCATTTGCGGCTTTGGTGCTCATGGAACATAGGAAGACGCAAAGCAACCAAAAGGAAAAGATTAGCTACAGAAGAAGCCCCTTGTTCTGCTCTCGGCCTACTTGAACAAAGGTTGCATGGAAGACGTCAACGAAGGAACAAGAAACGCTTGGTCACAGCCGAGTTGGCCTTTTCATGGCAGGGTCCCCCTCCGCACTTTCCGGCAGTTTCGCACGGAGTGGAGTCCTCACCAGAAGAATATTTACAGCTATGCAGTGCACATGCATGTTTTTGTATCTGCATATGCGTATGTATGTCTGTGTTATTTTCCACTTCGAGGCCTTTGACATTAAAACAACGCACTAGCTGTAGATACTGGCACCGACCGTAAACTTATATAGCCTTTGAATTTGACGCATGTGAGTCTTGGAATAAGCATTTGCCCGCAGCCAATATTGCTCAGTCTTCCCACTCAAATCGCCTCAGCCATATGATTGAAACTGACTGAACTTGTGGGGCCTTGCTCTAAACCCTAAGAGCAACAGCCATCCAACGGCAGTAGATGGTTAGATGAGATGTTTAGTATAGTTTCATCAGACTTGTTTGGGTCTTTCGCAGGCGGTGGATCATGAGGCATGCCACTCAAGAATAACACCTGGACACAAAAACGAGAAGAGCAGAATACTGGGCAAGGCTTATTTGACCTGACACCTGGGGCTTTCCCCGATCGATGTGCTCCACTTTCAGTGGACCATGAACCCTCTGGGCTCACCGCTTGTCTCGCCTGCGCGGCTGTGGGCTTTTGGACCTCGGGACACTCGAGACGCTCCCGACAGCGAAGATGGGAGACGGTGGAGGCAGGTTCTGGAGGAAGTTCTGGGGAGGCTCTGGAGCAGCTTTTGGAAGAAGCTTCGCAGCAACTTTGCAGATGTGACATGATGTTATGCTGACACTTTGCATGTTGTCATGCTGTCAGGCGTTCATGTTCATACTGTGTGCGCTGTGATGCCAACATTCAAACTTGCTGGATGGTGTCGTGCTGGCGCGCTGTAGAAATGCTGTCATGCGGACATGTAGACACGCTAACATGTTGTCACGCTTATATGCTTATATGCTGCAGCGTTGTCATGCTGCAATGCTTGCACACATGTGCCGGCGCGCAATGTGCCGTGCTGCGATGCTGACACGGCACATTGAAAAGGCTCCCATGTTTCAGAATTTCAAAAGACGAATTGTCTAGCAAAGACGCAACACTTGCTGGTGAACGTGTGATATCGCCATTCATGCCCAGCTGTTGGTGATTCTTCTGGGGTTTATATTTTCACTGGCGTCGTGAAGACAGAAAACCCCGCACAGCTGGTGTATCTACCGGAAACATGGCCGGCGCAATGCATTGGCTGTGGCTGCATCCTTGCCAATAAGCAGCCATACAGACTGGAAGCAAAGTAATCATCAGAATTTCGAATCGAAGGAGCCCCGAACCAAGCTGCGAAACTGACACATGACTACTGTAATCGAAAACATTGCAGACCTTGTGGGTTTCTTGAAACATTAGAACACAAGCCAACCCGGAGAAAAACCTCGTTGCCTTGACTGGCGGTTGTCCCGTTCACTCTTGATCATCCTATCCAAAGAATAGCTCTGACAAGCGGAGACTTTTCAGCTAGCGGCCAAGGGATCCCTGTCGATCCGGTTCGAGTGAAAAAAAGGGTATCGGTCATGGTGGCTATGACTCATGTACAAATGTTCCAACTCCACTGCTGGCCTGGTGTCTGTTGCTGCAGTGCTTACACAAGCGTTTCACCGAGGCCTTGTTGCTTCGTGCCAGCCCATTGCATGTCGGGCTCAGGTGAAAGGTATCACCTGTAGTCGTCACCCAGATCTTGTCTGGGATCTGCCAGCTCGAGCCGCTTGAGCGTCGGCTCAACTCAAACTCAGGACTGAGTGTCCTCCTTTCGATAGACGGTGAAGGCGTGGTTCTCATCGGCCGGGAGGTTGCCATAGGCGATTCGCTCGATGAAGGTGAAGGTGTACGTGGAGCCTTCTTTCTCGTCTTTTCTGGCTTGCGGAAAGCCCATGTCAAAATGCCTTCAAGGCTTCGTAGTCCAAGGTACGCCAGAACGATGAAGATCCAAAACATCCAATCTCGTGGCGTCTCAACGGGTTCTTGTACTTGTGCTTGTGCTCCAAGGCTCAACATGGTGAAGGCCAAACAAACCTTTGCCGCCATGGTTTGGGTCAGTCCCAAAACGGTCATCAAAGCAAAGTTTGTACTCGTTGAAGTCTTTCTCCCCTTCCATGTCTCTTCCCATAGTTCTTGGTCACTCTTGTAGAGGTCATTCTCCGTGAGATCATGTAGGAGAGGAAGGCGACGAAGGAGTGTTGGATGTTTGTCAACGTTGCCAAATTCAACGTAGCCTGTGCTGAGGTATTGCAGGAGCTTAGGCGCTGTCATCGTTTTGGTCAATCCATCTGCCAACATGTACTCGGTGGGTGTGAGGATGATGTAGCGAAGTCGACCTGTAGCTCTTGCTTCTTTGAAAGCCAGGATGTAAAGCCGTTGCAGCTTGTCCTGAGGTACTGAGCGAGCTCCAGTGCATAGCTCGAAGAAGTCACGGCAGTCTGTTGCCGTATCCACCGGGAAGACTGTTGAGCCCTGTTCCTGGTACTCGGTGAGCAGCTTGAGTGATGGACTTGGTTCAGGAATCCAAAGTTCCGTCAAACGAATGGACACCATGCTGCTCGCTTCAAGGCCACCAATTGCAGAAAGCGTCTCTGCATGGGAGGTGCTGTAGGACACACGCTTTGCTTTTCCTCCATGGGCAAATAGCAAGTGGCCATAGTTGCTCAAATGCTGAATCTCTGGTTCTCCACATGTGATGTCGTCCTGGTTCAGCATCTCTGGAGGCAGCTCGGGCATGAGCAGGATCATCATGCCTTCTTGAGCATAGCTTTTGTCCTTTGATGCAGAACTCGCATCATGGATGCATTGAAGTCGCATCTTGGTGCCGGGCTCAAAGAAGCGATAATGGAGTCCCAGGCTCAACTTGTCTTTGGCACATGCCTTCTTCACCAACTGATTCGCTTGTCGAAGATGTTTGACCTTGGATTTGGTGATGACGGACTGCAGTGTTCCAACTTCGGCCACAATGTCCAATCGGGTGCTGCAGAGCCACAAAAGTCCTCCTAGGACTGAACGAAATTGTGTGAGCTCAGACGGAGTGAGATCTCGTTCGTCAGATCCTTCTGGATTGTCTGATGGCTTCAGACGAGAGGCGAATGCAGTCTGATCAATGCAGTAGCCTGTGGTGGTCTTGGAATACTGACAGCCGCAATGCGCAAAAGGGAGTGCATCACGTGAGATCTGGCCAAACTCATCGCACATGGCCTTGAACAGCTGGTCTTTGAACTTCTTCGATCCCACAACAGCGAGGTCGTCCACGTGAGTGGTGAGCGCTCCCAGGAGAGGTTGATCTGCTCGTGGATCCTTCCAAAAGAAGAAGCTGTCATCGAGCTTGCTCGGATGGCCTTTGGTCTTCTTGAGAAATTCGCCCAAGGATAGCTGCCATGCAACCGGGGCGTCATTCAGGCCGTAGATGGGCTTGAGGCACCATAGTCCGTACAGTGGAATGTCTTCTGGATTCACCTGGAAACTGTTGTCGACCGCAGCCAGGTGGCGCCAAGTGTTCCATGGTGGTATCAGTACCACTGCACGAGCTGGTGATTTGATGCCCTGCTTGAGGAGGATCTCTCGGATGCGATCAAAAGACAGTCCCTTCAGGAAAGCACCTGACACATCCCACGATTCTGGGTCTGAGTGCATGACTGCTGCTGTGGACATCAAAATCCTCTGCGACAATCGTGAGGCTGTGGTGGATCTCGTGGCCAGTGAATCTTTCTGAGGATCAAAGCATCCTCTGGCACACATTCTGGACTTGATGATGCGTGATCCACTCTTCATCTTCCAACGTCGCACCCAGGTGCCATCAACGATCACTGTGCCTGGAGGTACTTCAGAAAGTCGAATCTTCTGAAAGGCCTTTTCATGGACGAATTGTGCAATCTCCTTGGCATCGGCCTCTTCGACTTGTGGCCAGATTGATGGCAGGCCCTTCTCAGCAATGTTGTCTTCTGCTGTGACTGAAGCAAAACTGCCGCCGGATGCCATGTCCACAAAGAAGGTCTTATGCTTGTGTCCATACCAGTGCACCAGGTATTGTTCATGTTCTCGATGTACTTGAGCATGTTGGTGCAGTGACCTGGTGAGGACATCTTTCATTGTCAAATTGCAGTACCATTTCGGCATCACGTAGCACTCTTCCCAAAGATCTTGGGTGTAAAGGCGGTGTCGACGTTGTCGATCCATCAGCCAGTGGAGAGTGTGCAGGTTCTGGTACTCCGTAGTGACGATGGAGAAGTGTCCTTCCAACTCGTTGGTCAATGCAAGCGACCTCAAATCTTTCTTCTCCTTCTGTGTGTGGTGATCAAGTCGCAGTCTCTTCTCCGGCAGTGGCATTGTGCTTGGCGTCGGTGATGGTGGTGTCTCTCTCTTTTGAGGTAGCTGTGGGATGACCGATGACAGCGCATCTTCCATCTCCATGCGTTCAACCGGCACGCTTGCAGCTTCTGACATAGATGTGTCATCAGGCACGATGGCTGGAGGATATGGTGCATCTGGATCCATCTGAAGTGCCCGTTCCGGAGCTGATGCCGGTGAACTGGATGCAGGCTCTTCAAACGTCTCGGGGTAGTAGTAGATGTAGAGAACACATAGATGCTCCCTTGGGCCTCATGGAGGTTCTTCATCCTCATTTGTTGATCATCTTGCTTCAGCGTTCTCACGAAGTTGGCTGTCCCCTTTTGCCAGACAAACAAAGTGCCCCTGGTGCCAGGAAAAGGGGTCACTGTCCTCAAGGCTTGGCCATAGATGATGCCGTGGATGTTGTGTTGCAGCCAACTTGTCCATTGAGTGAAGTGCTGAAGAACTCGTTGTTGTGTCTCAGATGGTTGCGTCGGCAAGGTCTTCCACTGTAGGCCATCAGGAGTGATGACTCGCTTGTAGCCGAGGACCATCTGCTTGTACTGCTGGATTTCTTCGACCAGTTGCATCAACTGATACATGGATTCTGCGCAAGTGTCCACGTTGTAGAACACGCCCTTAAAGGGTCTGATGAAGCGCAGAGGCATGAGGTATGGTCTGCCTTGGTGCTTGACAATGGATGTGCCCTCATCTGCATTGGCCTCAAGGAGCGTGGCTGGTCCTCTCCAAGCACCATCTCGATATACCTCAATGGTGGAAGTGCCGGGAGTCAGTTGAGACAGGTCCAGTTGATGTGTTCGAGTGTGGCTAGCTCGTGCCAGGCGATCCTCCATGATTGACTGCTGAACTGCTGTCAAGGAGATCTGTCTCAACCTCATTGCAGTCTCGAAAACAGAGAGATCTCGATCTTGTGCTCCAGTGACTGCAGTGATGTTCGGGGTCTCGAACTCATAGAAGGCACGAGGAACCACTCCAAACACTGCCATGGATGGCGAGTAGCCTCCATAGGTCATAGTCATGTTCTGGCTCACGCATGACTCAGCAGCTATGTCTTCATCTTCAACTTCCAAGGACTGGCGTTCACACTCAGCTTTGACCTTCTGCATGGTGAGCTTCACGAGGCTGATGTGACGCTCAATAAGGCCTGTTCCAGTATGCTGCTTGCCTGCTTCGCCTGAAGTGGTGCCCTTGGGATTTCGTTCGATGTTCAGGCGTTCGAACTCAACTGCTGCTGAAGGACTCATCAGGCCACTCTCCTGGTCTGAAGT